TTGTTTTTGCTAATTTATCTTGAAAATACAAAGATCTATATCTTAAAACATTTGAATGTGCTCGGAATACTTTTGCGTTTAGTGATTCTCCGGCCTTAATGATTACGTTAAAATCTTCTTTGTCATTAAGAAGTTCAAGGTAATCTATTGAAAGTTTTTCTAAATGTTTTGTTGCCATGTTTTGTTTAAAGATTTTTTTAACACGCAAAAATAAAATTGACATAATAAATGATGGGAAATGGTTGCACTACAGAAAATATAATCATCATTGTTGTACAAATATCCGTATTTTACATTTGGAGTCAAACGGGGCGAAAACTTTATTCAGATTTAGGCAATTCTGAATTAGCCAGTCCCCCAAAGTGCTAATCATCTAACAGATGTGTGGCGCCAATATAATAAACATTAATGCAATTTCTACATAATCATTATAAAAATGATCAATTATACTGATCTCTTGATGTGTTTACCGAATGAATTGATTGGCCAAAAAGGTTTATTCTGATTATCACTTGGTCAAGAACGTGGATCCTGGAGTTCGCAAATTTTTTTCATAGAGTGAGTTGATTGGCTAAATCCACCATTAATGGAGTAACAAAAAAGAGTTCTCAAATATGAAATCTCTTTTTAAATCTAGTCATTTTGGCCAAATTTAAAAAGAGATTTCCCTCCTTTTTTATTAAACAGTGCCCATATATTCTCTCATTTATTATTTTTTTTATGAAAATATGAATCTTCGGCAAGACCGTCGTCGATACCAAAAACTACTATGCAGCACTCACACTAGAAACTCTTACAGCAAATAAAAAACCAACACAAATAGAACAAACGCTTATTTCTTTAGTTATTATTATATGTTGTCAAAGATGACTATTGTTTAACAATTGTTCAAAATGTGGCTGTTGTTTCGATAAGCTATTCGTAAATTTGTTAAGAGGCGAATAGGGGCGAGTAGACATGCATGCGCAATCATGCGCATTTATCGTTATCCATCTAAATATTACATAGGAAAATTAAAGTACACAATTTAGGTAATGCCGAGCGGAATTAAGAAATAGGAATGCGAATGGTCCAAAAAATCCC